TGAGGGGAGCGCCCGTCCGGGGCTCGGCCATCGGAGCAGCGCCGTGGCAGCGTCACTTCAGCCGCCGCCACTTCAAGTCGGAGCCCCGAGAGCCAAGCGAAGCAGGTCGGTGAATTTACTTTTTGTCCCCGCTTTTTTTCCCTTCTAATTTCCTGGAACATCCTCCTGAGCACAGCCCGCAGCCGGCTGCACGTCCCGCTCGCAGATCCAGGCACGGTGTACCCAAAGCAGCCCTTTCCCTCGTTATATTCCTTGAGGTTCAGCGTCAGAAGAAAAAGAAAAATAAATCTCAGTGAATGTGGGCTGTGAGTCCCTGATGCTGCGAGAGRTGTGACAGAAGAGCACTTTGGAAAGTTAATTAGTGATACAGCGTTTATAAATAGAGTTTATAATGAACACACTGAGAGTCCTTAACTTCCAAGGCTGTAACRTGGGTATTACCTTGAAGTGCCAAGGAATCACAGGAGCTCTATAAATCAGGAAAGACATAKCCACAGTGTGGATTTCTGAGAATGAGGAGTAGTTTCAGTACAAACAAGAGTAATTGCACGATCTGGAGAAACTCTGAAGAGTTTGGGACGTTTTGCTGTCGAGTCTCGTGGGAGAGGCTCCACCAGCAGGTTTGGAGATGGATTTGTAGCTGTGCTTCTGCCCAGCTTGGGTTACCTTTAATATTAGAAAGCAAAATTATTCAATGAAGGTCATACTCACTTCTATTTTGTGTGTTCCCCTTGCTCTGAACTCCTTATTAATATTGGTTATTGATACACTCAGTACCAAACAAATGCAATGAAATTCCATGCTCAGACCAACAGGACCAGAAAGTTCTCAGACTCTCTAAAGAGCAGAGCAGACGATGCTGTGCATAGACGTTATTACTAAAATATTTTATGCTTTTTAGAGGTTTTTAATATTTCAAGCCAGCTCTAGGGCATTTCTTGCAAAAGTCAGGGATGGTTTATATGGTTTTCCATGCCCAGTGCAGGTGTTTGTGGGTCCTGCTCATTTCAGATTGTGCTGAACATRTTTCCCATGCTGATAACTCAGGGGATTCTATGATTTCTCACCTCACCTGTAAAGAAAAAYGATCTTATTTCATTGCCTGTCATATCTGCTCTGTTTTGGTTTTAATCCCAACTCCTCTTGCTGAGCTGTTCTGCGATTCTGTGGTTGACATGGAGAGGAATGTAGAATTTACATAAGAAATCAGAAAATTTCTTGTGCACAGCAGCAGCAAAATCAGTTGTTCCAGAATAATTTAAGGTATATTTGTTAAAAAAGACCCCAATTCCTTTCTTTTGTATGGCAATTCCCCAGCCATGCATAAACCAGTATGTCCTGGCAGTGTTAATTTACTCTCTCCAGGTTAAAGTTTACAAGTTTTAATAATTCTCCTTATGGAACTTCCTATTCCCTGTAAAAGCTCCTGTAAAAGTTGTGTTTTTTCTTACACTTGAGTAAGGAATTCTGACAAATTCACTGTTCTCACTGAAAAAAAAATTGGGGAGTCCTGTCTGCCCCAGCARTACATTTATCCTGCCCTGGGATTTATCTGTGGGTATCTCTTTTTGGCTAAATCTGCAGAGTTTATGCAAGGAAGGCTGATCTTTGAATACAAAAGGGGCTCATTCTGGGGCCATGCAGCTTACAGGGCTTTGTGGTCATGTACAGCACTGGGTTTTGTTCAGGAATGTTGTTGGAAACAGGATTGGAAAAACACCTCAGTGAGAGGAGATTCAAGCTGGTCCAAACTGTGCTTTTGCCTTCTGCTCCAAATATTGTTAATTATGGTAAAATTAGTGCTGACATCTGAACCTTTGATTGCTCTTTGTGGTCATTTTTCTGGCAGAATCCCACAATCATTAAAGTTGGAAAAGCCCTCCAAGTCCAACCTTGTTCCCAGCCCAGAGCTCTGAGTGGCAAATCCAGGCCTTCCTTGGACCCCTCCAGGGATGGGACCCCAAACCTCCCTGGGCAGCTGCTGCCAATCTTTACCMCCCTTCCAGGAAAATAATTTTCCCTTAATTTTTTAAAAAAAATCTTCCATAGAATTCTATTTTTCCTTCAACATGGTTCTTGTGCTCTGTGGTTGTTTTTTTTTCATTGTGAGGAGGTATTTCATGGGGGAAACTCTAACACCTATAAACTATAGATAACTTTCCAAGGTTTGGAATTTTATGTCTAGTTTTTTTGGGAGTGGTCTCTGCCAGTTTCCTGTTGAGAAGTGGTCAAAGTATGAACAGGGAAATTTTTGTTGCACCTGTAAAAGAGGAACATCCTTGAGGGCTATTTCTCATTAAAACATTTAATAGCATGAATAATGTACATTTATGTCAAATAAACTCTTTTAATTTTTTTTTTTACTTCTGTCAGAAATTTGGGGAAATTTAAATAATATTAATTATAGGCTCTTGAAAATAATTCCTKCCTGTATCTTTGTGAAGTGGCAAACTTGATAGCTCCATAATTCCTCTGGCTCTTGTGTTAGGAATAAACTAATGGAAGAGGTGCAGGTAAGGCTGTGCTGAGAGCCAAATCGTGCTCTGAAATAGGGGCTGGGAATATCTGAATTTCCTCTTTCATTGCTGAAAATGGAGCTTAAAAAGGACCTGGGTGATAATCTGGTGAGTGGGGAGAAAAGTGATGGGTTTGACTCATTCGGTTCCAGCTGAACTTGTGGGAGAGCAGGCAGGGAGAAGGAGCTGGGAATTCACAAAATCACTGGGCAGCTGGCTGCTGCTGCAGGTAGATATTGAAAATAAATAAAAATAATAAAAAAAATCTAAATCTAAGTATATACAAATATAAATATTTTACAGGACAGGCAGCCCCAAACTGCAAGGCACTGCATTACATAACCTTGGCACTGCCTCTTTTGGCTCCACAAGTGTTCTCAAGGAAACTGTCCTCAAAAAAATTTMAGGAATGGAATGCTTTGGAGGGATTCCCTAAATCCAATTTCTTGCCCTGGCATTTGCTGTCTGACTTGAGCTGTGGTTTTACTCATCTGCTTGACTGCAACAGCAGCCAAACTCTCTATGTTTTWTTCTGATATCCTTTATTGAGCTTTAGGTATAAAAATGTCTTTAGATTTTTTTCAGAATTTATGTAACTATTGGAAGAAAATGAAAAACCACAAAGTATCTGAAATGAAAGAAAAATAATGAAATGTTGCTGTAAAGTTCAGTGAAGTCTTTGCTGTTTAAATAGGGGCCTGCGTGCTTCTGTGTATGCTGCTCTTAGGAAAATTGGAATTTTTCTTCCTTCCTGGCCTTTTACTCYTTTCTAGTGAAAAGTGTCCCTCCCCATGGCAGGGATTTGGAATTAGAGGCTCTTCCAATTCCCTTCCATCCCAACCCACCCCATAATTCCATGAATCTGCTTACAAAGGTGTGATTGTCAAATGAACCGAAATGCACCAAAATTAAACAACAGACTGATAATTAAAAGCTCTCCACTGATTTTCTGTGTGTTTTTCAGGTCAGCTCTACAAAACCAGATGTGCTGGAAAATCATCCCAACCATATTTGTGCTCATGGGTAAGTCACTAAAAGAAAATCCTAAAAACCAGTTTGGGATAAGTTTTSAGATCAGGAAACATCAGTGGAAAGTACGTGATGGGTCAAAACACAATCAAATAAATGCCCCAGACAGAATGTGATAAAACAGAAATTTGTGGGGAATTGTTTTGTTCCCTAAAATGTAAGGAAAACRCCCATTTCCATCAGAACTGCAGTAATTTAGTCCAGGGTAGCCAGCTCTGAGCTCTGCTCCTGGAGGATGCCCACATTCCTGCTTCCATGGGCTGCCAAAGGGTGCTCAGCTCCCTCCAAATGTCGGGTTAATAAACTGCTTTCCTAATTGGGAAATGCCTCTGACAATATTGGCATCTGCTGTGCAGTGACAGCTGGTATTTGCCTTCTTTTTAATTTTTTTTTTATTAAAATCAGAACTATTTAAAGACTTTTGATGATGACGCTTAGGGAGAAAGCAGACCCTGGAATCCAGTGAAGTTATTTTGAAAATTTGTGTCATCTTTACAAAAYATGAACCAAAAAGATGAATATATCCTTATATTTAGGTATCTTTTTATATCCATATTTTTAATATAAATGTACATATTTTAATCTTGCTATCTCTGTACTTTTACCCACTCAGTGTCAAATATTGCATTGCTGACCTTTTTTTAAATGCCTTTTCTGATCTAAACATATTGAGTAGCTTTGATTGGAAAACCTGGATGCTCCAGGGAGGTTTCCTGGGATGGTTTGTCACCATCTGATGGCCCTGGTCACCCAGCCACGCTGCTGTTCTGGGGATAGATTGCAACCCAGGCTCATTTTCACTTGATTTTCTGCAGAAAGGARCCGAGCACATTTTGCCTTGATAAGATTTAATTAATCCCTTGAGATGATSTGCGATACACGAGGGGGAGTTCCTTAGAAAAAGAGACAACTGGGGACAGTGCTGGTTACCTGTCCTGCTTGCTGCCACTTGTTTGTCCCTTTTTAATCAACAATGATGGYCCCAGAGTCTGTTTGCTCAACTGCCTCCTGCAGGAGGCCTAATGAGGCTGGGATTTACCAGGGCACAGAYTCTGTCAGCCGGGAGAGGAGGGAAGGGCAGAGCCCTGCAGGAGGCTGGCAGCACAAAATCTGTGTGGAGAGACAGCAAAAACCTCTTCTTTAATCACACACTGCAGCTGCTGCTTTTAACAGCTTTTTTTTTTAAAGCTCTCATTTTGTATTTTGATATTATTTAGCTCATGCTCTGTGCTGTTAATCAGTGCTGGAGATATTCTGTTTTTTTCATATTTTTATATTATTTAGCTCATGCTCTGTGCTGTTAATCAAACAGTGCTGGAGATATTCTGCTTTTTTTATTTTGATATTATTTAACTCATGCTCTGTGCTGTTAATCAAACAGTGTCAGAGCTATTCTGTATTTTTCTTTTTTTTTTTTCATTTTGGCTATTGCAAGTCATAGAGCATCAATTAATTTCTATTTAATGAACTGCTTGAAATTTCTGCCCTTTCCAAGCAAAGAGCTGAATGCAGAATGCCCCAATGACCCTGTGCCTTGCTGGAAGTGGAGTTTTAATCTTGGAATTCACAATTTATGGGAAGTTGTTTCCAAACCCCACGWGCTCATCCTTCTCTGAACCATTGTGAGCACAGTTCAAGCTATGACTTATCAACAAATGTTCTCAGAGGGGTTTTATTTGGAAAGATCTAAGTCTGATGGGAAAAATTATTCCTTTCCTGCCTCTCATTTCCCAGACAATGCCCTGRGGTTGTGCAGTTGCACCCACAGTAATGTTGTCCTTTTTTATTGAAGAGTTACAGTGGGACCATGTTTTATAATTACAATAAGATTGTTTTTTTACAGAAATTGAGCTGGTTTATCAGAGCTGCAGTGAATCTGTTCCATCACTGCACAGGCAGATGGGACTCATACCCACTTTAGGATTCACTTCAGTTTAGGATTCACTTTTTTTTGGGGTTAACATCAACCAATTTACCCCAAAATGATGCTTCACCAACAATCTTAGCCTTGATTTATTTCAAGATCAGACAAAAAGCTGGGTGMAGTGAGTTTGGAGGAGAAGGCTGCAATCTGCCAGCTCTGCCTCCATTCCCAGGGGATGTTTTGAGTAATTTTGTCTTTACCTCAGGGAATTATCCCTGGAAAGAGGGGATAGCCCTGGGAACAGCCTGATTTTTACCTCACAAATGCATTTCTTTATAACATCAGCCACTCCCTTTTTATTGTCTGATAATAAGAACTTTTCCTTTTATTCCAAATACCTTTGTATTTGCAGACTTCCTTCAGAGGGCAGCTGCCCACTGCATGGTCCATCCAGTTCCTCCAAGGAATTTTACATTGCCCTGTGTGCTGCTGAATGAGACATTTTTGAGCCCTTTCCCAGCATCCAAAATCAARCCTTTAATGGATGAAGAAAGTTTTCCATGTTGCCTTTGGAGTGCCAGCAACATTGATTGTTCTTTGTACACAGCAAGCATGCAGGCCAGGAAGTTGATTCCTTCAGAAATAAATATCTCTGCTCCTCAGCAAACAGGTGGGTTCAGCACTC